AAAACAGAATTGAAAAATATGTACAGGGTAATGAGTGGTAAAGTGTACCCTGTTTCCGCGGACACACGGTATATAAAAAAAAATTATTTAAGGAGAAACATAATGAAAAACTGATACACATAAAATGATTTTTGTTTTACAAAATATAAGTTAAAATTATAAACTAAATATTAAAAAATACAACAGCAAGAAAAATTTATGAACATTAAATTATCATCTTAATATTTTCTTATAATTAATCACCTCTTAGTAATATTGAATTTACAGTTCAGTTATATTTAAAATATTAGATTATTTTACACTCATGTATCCATGTTTTAAACGTAGTCAAAGGCGTTTCTTATTTTAATACCAAAGTATTTTTGTACTAAACAATTGACTAATAAAACAAAGTAACTGGAAATTAAATATGAACAATTGCAGTTTAGTTACAGAGAGATTTTTGCAATTTTTTTTTCGAAACCTATGTAAATCAACATTTTAAAAATTATCGTGCCAAAAAAAATTGGTGCCAACGTTTAATTTTTGAGTTATAATGGTTTGAAATTTTTCTCGGCAGTGACAACATGTGTATCGGCACTCCGTAAATCGAAAATATCTCTAGACTTGTTATGCAAAAGCATCTCAATAAGGTAACAGGGATAAAAAATTGTGGAAATGTAAAAGTTTTTTTAAATGAAAAATATTATTTTGCTTGGGCAGTGATTACGCATGTATTGGTATTCATCGCTACGCTCTGCTCCACAAATCGAAAATATCCCTTGACTTTTTATGCAAAACCACCTCATGACGGTCAGTCCACAGGGTAAAAACTAAATATATTAAAGTGTTTTTATTATTATATTAACAAGAGGCCACAATCTGATACAATTTCTTGGTAGGTACACTGAAATAGTTCCCAAAATTAAAGAATTCTTGAATTTCAAACCGTTATAACTCAAAAACTAAGTGTCGGCGCAGATTTATGGCACCATCATTTTTAAAACGTTGATTGACATAGGTTTCGAAAAAAAAATTTGCAAAAATCTCTCGGTAGCTAAACTGCAATCATACCAATAAATAGAAGGTTGGAACACAATCACTTGAGTAGAATTACTTATTCAGTAAAAAATTAACCTATAAGTAATATCCAAATAACAGAAGCCATCGAATGCAAAACCAAGTTACACTTATTTTGATACAACTACTTACATCTTCATTGTTCCTTTTGGTCCTAAATTGGTCTTCATCACATCTTGTATACCTCTAGCAGCTGAAATATTTACAGCTAGTGCTTGAGCGGCACGGGCAAATTCCGCTTTTGGATTCAACAGACTTATGGCAGCCATTGCGTTCGGGTTGTGTATTTAAAATACGACGTTAGAATATCTTTAAAACAATATAGAATGAAATTAACGTTAAATTTTCTTTTTATTGTTCAGCACTCGTGCTTTTAAAGCAAGTTAGTAGACTCATGGATTGAGGGTTTAACCATTTACACTACCCACCAGATATGGAATAATCGTTCCTAACTTCATTTTTCTTAGAATCCATAAATGTTGTTCTTTCAAATCAATGCACGAGTTTGTAACCTCATTGGTTAGGCTTTGCCTCTTGCCGTGATTTGATATTAATTACGGTTATCTACGCGTAGATTACCGTGATATTAATATAAAGTGATAATGGGTTATACGTATTAGATGTTATTACAAAGAAGAAAATTGAAACTATACATAAAACAATTAATAACTTCAAACGGTAAATATTCAATCGCCATTTTTCCAACTAACATTTTATTTTAAAATACGGTTGTATTAATGAATATGTCTCCACTGAAAAGAGAATACTTGGTGAGTGGTAAAAATTTCATTTTATTTTCCTATGGCAAAATAATCAGCTAAACTTTTACTGTTTTATTTAGCCTCCACCGTTGTCACCGAGTCCCGTATTGGATATAAGCGATGATGAACTGGTTACAATATCCGTACGTGATCTAAATCGTCAGCTGAAAATGAGAGGTTTGACTAGGGATCAAATAGTGCGTATGAAACAGCGTAGAAGGACTTTGAAAAATCGAGGTTATGCAGCGAGGTAACTTCTAAGTTATTTTTTATTTTGACCGTGATAAGAACATCTTAATAAGGATCATGTTATAAACTCATGAAAATAAACGATTTATATATAATTTTAGTATTATATACAAGTCTAAAATATTTTCAATTGTTAATTCAAGTTATACATTTTTTTATTCTTATTAAAAGTTAATAACGAGAATAATATGGTGTTTCATGCTGTCAGTAATTCATTGAACAACTTTTTTCTTGTGTTTATTCTAATTTTAATAGATATGATGCTGACATGAGATTCTAGATTTAGCCCATCCATGTATTTTCAGATTGCTTGATTCCCTTTCTTGGTCTACTTAGGTTTGCCATACGTCCCGGAAAACCAGGATTGTCACTGGTTTTGGACTTTGTGTCCCGAAAAATGTTTTCGGGACGTCCATATGTTCCAGCTTAGACGTCTAGAGGAAATATATTGTTTAATTTTTAATTTCGACCAGTTTAAGTACATTTTTAATCGTAATTGATTAACAATATATAATAAAAACATAATTTATAATTTACACTTATAATATATTTTATTTGACAAAAAGATTTTTAAATATTATATTGCTGGCCATTAATGGTTTTCTTCAGTGACGTCTACATAACTTTTGTATGGGGGGAGGTGTTGATTTGCAAATTAGTCATAATTTTTATTTTATTATTTTTTTTTTTTTATGTTTTAAACGCCCTCACAATAAGAACATTATTTTATAACATTTAAAAAAAGGCCTAAGGAGAACTGACCCCCACCTTGTATATACCACTGTCCTCTCAGTATATTAAAAATTATATAAAAAGTATATTATTCAATAATTTGTTTGTTTTGTCCTGTTTTCGCCTTATAAATTTATGGCAACCCTAGGTCTACTGATATAATATTCGAATGTTTCTTAGATTAAATTTATTTTTTCTTTGTTTGTAAATAATTTAAATAATTATTTAATATTACAGCTGTCGTATCAAGAGAATTGAGCAAAAAGACGAATTAGAAACAGAGAAATCTCAAGAATATCAGGAATTAGACGATTTACAACATTCAAATAATATGATACGATCTGAAGTTGAAAATACTATCAGGCAATTTGAGATGTTGAAACGATTTGCTGCTGCTAATAAAGTAATGTTACCTTTGGAACTTCAAACTTTATAATTAGATGTTTAATTATTTGTATATTAAAATGGATCTAATGGTATTATTTACATTTAAATTATTATACTTAAGTATTTATGTAAATGGGTTTGTATTTTTCTTTAAATGTTAGTTATATTATACAATATATATTTATAATTTAGGCAATTGGGGTATAAATTACATTTATATAAATATATTTTTTTTTTATACAATTTTGAATGGTTTAAATACATTTATTTCATAATTAAATTAACCTTTTATTTAAATTAAAATACCTCGCAACGATAAGTATCTTAGAAAACTAGAGTATATTTTGTAATTAATATTTAGAACTCAATTTATATATATATATATATATATATTAAGTGAATACAAATTAATAAATTATATGAATATATTGATAAAAATAAAAATGTTATGTTCCTGAAACTTTTAAGTTTGCTGTCCTTAAAATTAAATATTTTACAATTTTTAGATTAGTTGTAATTGTTTTTTTTTTTAACTAATCAATAATTCATTAACTGCTCATAATTTTTATAATATTGAATTATATACATGATACTTACAATTTTTTTTTCCTCTTTCACATAAATGGTGTTTAAAAATAATGGATTATATATCTAAGTTTCAATATATATTTTATATATTATAAAATGATGATAGTATAACGAACGTAAATTGAGAAGTAAATAGGTTAATTTAAAATTAATGCTTATATCATTTGTCTACAAATTATATGTCTAAGAAAATGTTTATTATTTTATTGGTTTTTTTTTTTTTTTTTTTTTTTTTTTTGGGGAAAAATTTTTAGATTTTTTTTTTTTGTAATTAAATATAAATATCTTATGGATACACATAACGTTTTAAAATTATTTATCTTATAAAAAAAAAAAATACTTGACCTGCAACGAAAAATAAACAGTAAGAATGTAAATTATAGATCAATATTTAATGTTTAGTGCGTAACAAGTATGATTGAAAGTAGCAATTAGTGTATTTTATTAATAACTGATAACAAACTGATATTAATAATAAATATATTTATTAAATTGAAACATACTTATTCCAAATTTTATAATTACGGTCTAGAATTATAAAAAGAAGTATAAAATACTAGTATTTGTTTTAAAAATAGTTATCAGAAGTACTAAATATGAGAAGAAAAAAATAAACATGTTATTCAAAATTCATAGTATAAATTTCCTATGATTATAATTTTTATTACAATATCTTGTGAGGTGAAAAATATTATAATTATAATATCTAAAAGTTCGTAATATATAATTTCTTTTAGCAAATAATTAAGAATTCAGTTTTTTTTTTGTAATTTATATTAAATATATAATTGTATGGTAATGTAGTATATGTTAATTAAAATTAGGGAATGGTAAATTTGGTACTCATGGTACTCTCTATCTTAATAGAAATATATTTGTAGATATTAAGTTTAATTATTAATTAATTTTATTAATTTATATTAATTTTAATAAATTACAAATATTAAATATTTAACATAAAATATCTTATAGTAGCAGTACTATGTTTCAGGACCATTATGATTTGATGAAAATACCTAGAAAAATATAATCAATTGAATTACATTTGATAATAAAATAAATTATTATTTTAAAGCATAAATTAATTTCATAATAATAGTTATATCACAATATACATAATTTAATGTACAAATATATGTGATTTTAAAAAACAATTGAGTTTAATTTTTAAATGAATAGGCTATTGATGTTAAAAATGTATCATAATAAATATCTATTATGTATTTACATCATTATTCAATCCAAAAATTCAAAGTTTCCTACATTCATTTTTAAGGTCTAGTTAGATATTTTGTTAAATTTGTTAACAGATTATGAAATAAATAATTTAAAATAAAAACAATAATCAGCAGTATCTTATTTTACCATTTTATTGAATTTGATAAAATGGGGTATATAAGAATTGCTTTAAAATAATTTTTTTAAACATTTCTAACTAAATGGTTATTGTATATTTATATATTGACAACTTATTTTCACTTAAACAAAAAAAAAAAATAAAAAATAAGTAAATGCAATAAATTAAATAATTTAATAATACAATTATTTTTAATTATTATAGGTAAAAAAAAATTCTTGAATTTATAATTTGATTAGTACAAGTGTTCATTTCAATAATTAACAAACTCAACATGCTACCAATTTCTCACATTGTTTTACTTACCAAATTATGGTATGTTGAAGTATATAAAATAATTAATTTAATTTTTCAATGATACATCCAATTGTTGTTCTTGAACAGTTAAATTGGAAACATTATTCTTTGTTCAATGTCAATATCAAATGTAGAATCATTTGAGTTCCAATAACTAATATTATTTTGACATAAATGATGTACAAAATAAATATATTATTAATATGTATAAATAAATAAAATATACTTAATTTATGTGGAAAATGTATTACCTTCCTTATTACAAATTGGAATAAAAAGTGATGAATCCTCCTCATGAAGCTGCCCAACAGATATTACAGCACATGTTTATTAGACCATTGAAATATTTAGCTTGGACGACACTGGAAATTTTATAAGGTAATAAAAGTATATTCATGTGACTATAACATTAGTTATACAAATAGTCACTGTTAGCAATTGTCCATCAACTTTAACTCTACCGAATGTTTATATTTATATAAAACAACTATTATATCATGCAAACATGTTAAAAAATGGAAAATACCAATATCATTTTGATGAGTCAAGCGGTAGCCAGTGAATTTTGATTAAACAAAGTGAATGGCTATTTTCCTGTCCAACGATTAAATAATGAGAAGTCAAGGATGTTGTCCAGTTTGATAAGCAATACAATTTTATCATCAAAAAATTTGTTGCCAGACTTGTAATGGTTAGTCTAAAGAAACAAAATCAATTTAACTATAAGCATTTAAACTTATAATTAAACACAAGAACATAAATAATGCATTTTTATTTTGTAGAGTTTCAATATTATAAAGAAAAACAAAATTAAATATTTACATCAAAAAAATTTAAAACATTAATTACTATATGGCCTTTTTCAAAATATGTAAGTACAACAAGGATATCCATGTGGTTATAAACAAGTTCATTGATATATAACATTTTATAATAAATACAAATTAAAATTTAATAAAATTTAAATTGTTACAATTAATTCACACAATCAAACAGTAATAATAGATGTACAATAAAATATAAACCACATACATTTTCTAATAAAAAAAAAAAAAAAGTTGTTCATTAAGATTTTGATACAATAATAAATTAGAATTACAAATTTATAAAATTCATAAAACTAATAATATATTTAATAATCCCACATACATTTACATTTTTTTTTTATTTAAAATATACTTACCTAAAGAATATGTGAACACAACAACAAAATGAGTGTCTTAAGATGTTGTAAGTTAAAAGATTAAATTCATTATAGGAAACATAAGGAATAAGTATTACTATTTTTATTGCACATTAATCATATTAAAATAATATATGAATTAATTTATGGGGAAAATCGATAAGTTCTTTAAATTCCATATATATTCTCAGTACATTTATATATATTTTGCATAAAAATAGATATTAATTTAAAATTTTTCAAGTTTAATACAAAAAAATGTATGCTAAAGTAGTTATAATATTGAATAATTTAAAATAAATTAAATATTGATTTATAAGTTTTCAAAAATATTTCATACTTCTTAATACTCTTTATTATAAAATACTATTTTATGTCAATAATTCAATTGAAAAAACATTTCATTATTGGATCTTATCTACCTATGTTGATAATAATGCATATTTCATGATAAATATAAAATATTCAATTTAAATATTTGGATTAGAAATTTGTTGAACTATTGAATAATATAAAATATTTAATTTTTATTTTGTGATCAATGGTGACAATTTTTTTACTATTGATTCATATTTTGAAAGTATAAATTATGCATTAAATTATTGCAGTTGAAATAGAAATATATAAATAAATAAAAGATTAGCCTGGAGTATTATTATATTTGTAAAGTACAACCAGTTTTGAATTAAAAATTCAGTCAGGTAAATACAAAGTCGCAATTATATTAACTTTGTATACCTGATAAAATTTTAATTTGAAACCAGTCGTACTTTACAAATATAATAATATTATAGACTAAGCTATTTATTTATATATTAATTTATGAGTATTACCTATTTAATAATTTTTAATTTTACTTTATTTTTTATTATTTTATTATGAACTAAATTGTTATGCTTTTTAAAGCCTAAAACACAATATGACTTTACTGTTAAAATTAGGTAGTATTTAATTTACTAATTAAAATTTCAAATTCCAGCTATAATAATAATTCTTCAAAAAACTTGTGTAATTTTAATAAAAATAATTTAAATAAATCTGTATATTCATTTACTTTGGCAAGATTCATTATAAAGATGATTAATATTTAAAATAATAGTCTTTACTTAACAATTATTTATATTATTCATAATTATAATATAATTTTATCACATTCGACAAGATTATGACACTAAAAGATAAAGTATAAAAAATATCTGATTATTAAATCATAATTAAAAATTACTATATATTATTAAATACAGAATAGCTTATACACAACAAAATGAAATGTTGATCTACAATCCATAAATTATTGTGTGGAATTATGCATATAATTTAAATAAGTTATGGTAATTTAATAGTTAAAATGTAATGAATAAGTATTTATAAATGTTAAAATAAGCCTTTCATGTATATGATGTACAGGATTTCTTATATACAGATAATGAAGTCCTTTAAAATGATTTAATTATGCTGTAAAAATTCTAATTAATCAATAAATATTAAATATAATGTATTCAGTATTGTCAAGAGTACTACATATTTATATATAGGTATTTAAAATGTAATGATTATTTTTAGAAACTTTTCTTATTCAACAGAATTGAATGATAAATATAAAATTTTCCATAGTTTATTGAGTAAAATAGAGGACCATTGTGGAATTATTTTGAAAATTAACCATATATTATTTTATTAAAATAAAAATAAATGATGATTTGTATTATAATTTATATTTAGTATTATATATAGCACATAGGCAAGGATTGTAACATACTTAGTGGACAAGCTTTTAATTTTACTGTAAAAATTACAGTTTATCACACAAACAAACGAAAGCATTGAATTTCTTTTTATTTAAGAATTATTTATGGGTATGGGAAATATTTGAGAAGTTTAGTTTTTTCTGATCAGAAATGTACTTTTATGATTAGATAATTATTAATTTAGTCAATTATAATTTATGTTCATAAATATTTTTTGTTTATAGATTACCATGCACACTAGATATCTTAATAATAGTTCTGAAAATATAATTCTAATGTATAGAATATTTTTTATTTTATAAAACATTCAATAGGGAGTACAAATCCATATTTGGTTTTGTCCTATGGTCCATTACTTTTCTTTAATTAAATCCATTTGTGTATGTGTAATCCATTACTTATGTAGAATAATCAGAATAATCCATTTTAACTATATATGCTCTTCATAAAGAGTTATTAAAGTATTCCTACGTCTTTGATGTCCAAAATAACAAGTTGTTCCAAATTCTGATCCATCCAATGAATAATGAATATCCATTAATTTTAAAATAAATCCACGCATGTGTAATTTTTTTTTAAATCCTACAATTGAGTCCTACATGAGTATCATGTTTCATGAAGGTCTTCGTTTTCAGTAATTTTTAACCAAGATCCAGAGTAGAATATCCATTTGAATTATGTTCATAAATTATAATCCATCTTTTTATTAATATTGTATGGATGCCTACATGAATTATTGTCACCAAGAATACAAAAAGGTTAGGTTGTTATTTAAACATCCACAATCCAGTAGTATATAGTAATAAGATGTGTGTTATGTGTATCCTAAGTAAAGGTTGTTTCCTTCACAATCATGCTCTTTGCATCCTTCATGTGAGACAAAATGAGTATGATCCACTTAATTTATTAATAGTAAAAATAGTATTTTGTATGATACTTAATTAAATCATATTATTCCTTAACATGAATTATTTTAATTCATTGTGTTTCTTAAAATACACTTTAAATTTTAATCCATTCTGCGAATAAATATTCTCCAGTTTTGACGACAAGAGGTGTGCAAATAAAATCAATTATATATCCTTTATAATTAATGCTATGTGTCCTTTATTTTTGTCAAATGTCCAATCCAGTTATAATATTCAGCTACAATATTAAAAATAATAAAAAAATGACAAAAACAATTTTAACTTAGTTTAACCCTCGTAATAAAATTTGCCATAAAATGATTCTAATAAAAAAATAATAAAAAAAAAAAAAAAAAAAAAAATGAAAAAGTGACTATAATAATGGAATGAGGGTCAATAAAGTATTGTTGCATGCTTTACCATTTGCTTATCCTCAATATTACGAACGGGAACGAGATCTTGAATAGCTATGACTTTTTCGGACTGGTGAATATGTTGGTGTACCACGATCACGAGGTGAATAACTTACAGAACGACTACGGCTTCGACTATTATAGTCACGACTACGACGACTACTTCCACCACCATAATCATCTTTTACTCGAATATATGTTACTTCGCCCTACAAAAATAAAATGGTTAGCAAAATAACGCATTTGTGTATATTTTATATAAAAATACTATAGAATGATTATGCTATTATAAATATAAGTTTATTAACACCAAATAAATACAAAATAAATAAATAAATGCTTAGCCAGGAGTATTCTTATATTTGTAATATATGACTAATTTCGAACTAAAAATTCATCAGGTGATGGACAGAAGTAACTATTTTTTAGTACCGACTATTTGTCAGTTTTCATTACATACTATAGACTAATTAATTGACTAATTTAACTAATAATTATTCAGACTAATTCGACTAAAATTTATTTAATAGTTTTGTAAATAGATAACTGACCAATGACTGAGTACCTAATACAGAATATAGTCAGAGGCCAAACCACAAGTTAATTTTAAGAAATTCAAAAACTTGTAAATGTGTTTACTAAAGGTATTTAATATAATTCACATGCATAGTTATTTTTCTATAGTAATATTATCATTAATATTATACTATGGACTATCTAAATGTTTTTTCTATTTAATATTTTTAATAAAGTTCATGCTAAAGTTAGTTATGGTTTTTAAAACTATCAAAAAGAGTCAAATAAGGTACATTTAGTCAATGGTCAATCAAATAAAAACTAGTCAATTAAAATATCGGTCGAATTACTAATTATACCAAGAAGAGTAACTAAATTAGTCACATAATACTACTGACTAAGTCAGTAGGAATTAGTTATTTCTACCCATCACTAGTACATACAAAGTCAATAAAAACGACATTCTATTTTGACTCAATCGAGTCATGATTTTCTCGACTTTGTATAAACCTAATGACGTAATTTTTTAAAACCAGTCGTATATTACAAATATAATAATGCTCTAGACCAGGGATGACCATCCTACAGCCCACATTAGAAAGTTTGCGGCCCACGAAATTTATCAAACATTTACAAAAAAATATTATTTTTGTCCCAATAAAATATTCTGGAATGCCCGCACAACGTGAAATCCGTATTATTAACAATGTAATTGCAACAAACTCTTTGATTCATCAACAAAATCTTTGTTCCCAAGTATTGTCGATGAACCATGTTATGCAAATAAAAACAGCGAATTACATTCAATAACATGCGCTTTCGCACCGAAAATTTAAACAATTATAGAAAGAATTCAGGATTCAGAATACGGTCACAAAAACAACAATAATTCATTCTGTTTATTTCAAATAATTAATAAACAAAACTTATTTTATAATAATAATTAATCCTGCTTAAAATGTTTACTCCATATTTTTTTGTATTGGGCCAAAATACTAATATAATTTTATATGTAGCCCGTGGGATCATAATGTATTTCAAAAGTGACCAGCAAGATCATTTGAGTTGGCCACCCTTGATCTAGCCTAAGCATTTATTTATTTATATATTAATTTAGGAGTATTAACCATTAGCTAATTTTTGTATTATTTAATTACTTTATAAAGAAATATTGAACAAACCTCATGAGACCGGAATCTTGAATCATCAAGCTTACGAACAGCATATTTCATATCATCATAACGTAAAAATTCAACAACACCAGATCCGTCTTTATACACATCTGCATAACATACATCTCCTGCTTCACGCATATGATCTTTTAAATCTTGCCAACTACCAGAAGCAGGTAATCCTGAAATATAAACATATAATTTAGGTTAAAGAAAAAAAAGTAATTTATAAATTAAGGTCATTACAAAATGATCCATAGATCAATTTCAAATTTTTTAATCTTTCTTTCTTTGAGATAATAATATAAGTAAAGAAAAAATATAAAAATTATTTAAATACTAACCAGTAACCAATACTCTATACTGAGAACGTCTAGCAGGAGGACCTCTACTTCTTCCACTTCCACTACTAGCACCTCCTCTACTGTAACTTCCACCACCTCTATGTGGACCATTACCACGTGGAAATTCTACTCGTAATCTATACCCATCATAATCATATCCATCTCTCGCATGAACTGCATCTTCTGCATCTCTAATAAAAAAAAAATTTAAGGTCAATAATAATATAAAGTAAAAAAAAATTATAGTAAATCAGAATTAGTTTTTAAAGTAAGGTTACAATAATTCTTACAAAATTGGGAAAAGGAGTTGTTTTGATAACCTATGAAAAAATTTTTTTTTCTTAAAATAGAAATTTTGAATTTATTTTTTTTGAACATGTGTATATATTAATATATCGCAATGAGATAATTCTTAAGTCCATTTAATTTATTGTTTATTCAAGATAAGCCTGTGTTCAGATTAATGTGACCCTATTATAGTGATTTTAAAATATTTAACTAATATGACATTCCTAAAAATATCAAAATAATATTATAGCAATAATCCAGTAAACAATTAAAACAAATATAAAATAAATTGTAAAATGTCAATTAAAATATTGATAAGTACAATACATTTAATTTATACATATTGTTTTAATAATAATTAAAATAATTTTAAAATAATGACTTTAAAAAATAAACAATTAAATAAAATTATTATTATACACATAATGGCTATTGGGTATGAACTCAAATTCAGTTATTTTTAATATTCAATTAATTTTAGAAAATACAATTTTTTCAAACAAATATTTATTAATTGTGTAAAAAAATAAATAGAATACGTTTTTAACAAAAAAAAAAAAAAAATGTAATTAACAGAAGTAACAGAATACAAATAGTAGGCCTAAAAAGAAACATGAATATCGATGTTTTAGAAAACATTACTTGGTTCTATTAATTTATATTAGATAAAATCTGTTAAGTGACGTAAATAAAGTTAATTATTGTTTAATTTTGTAACTTTACGGCAAGTATCTGAAATACTAATTAAGAATATATACCGTATTGTACTCGGTACATCGTTATATTTTCACCGAGCACAACTTATGTGCGACGATGTATGTTCACGTCAATAATATAATTATTTCAATCGAAAATATTATTACCTCGGGTCATCGAATTCGACGAATGCGAATGGCGGTCCCCTCTGATTTTTCAAATCGACGAACAACACTTTACCGAATTTGTAAAACAGGTCCTGGATATCTTTAGTACGTATGTCCGGGGGTAAGTTTCCCACGTAGATTCTGCAATCGTTGTTGGACATTTTCTCTGGCGAAATGCGAATGCACACACACAGGCAAACACTACTCGTATGGATTTACGGTTTACCGATGACCAAGCGTGCCAAACGTGTTTGACGAACGATGGTTGCTGGCGACGATAATTGGCAACGGTGGGACGCCAACGATATGACGTACAAGTTCTTAACGTCGAGCGGAAAAAATAAAAAGTCAAACGTGTAAAACCGCTAATTTCTCAAAAGTAAAACAGTTAACACTCAATATTAAATGTGTTTATATGATGTATATAATGTGATATATGTATTAAATATATGTATGAACAATTTTTAATCGTAATTGTTATCGAATGCTCGAAAAACAACTATCGATAACCACGCGAACGATGTTAAGACGTTAGATGTGACGACCACTCGTCGAGTTTTTGTATTAAGTTTAGGTCGTTAGACAAGTCTGAATGTCAATCGTGTTCAACGTCCTAACGGATTAAGTTTTGGCCGAAACCGTAGATGCGCAGGTGGAGTTAAAAAACGAATTTAAACAAAAAAGAAATTAAAACAATCGAAAATTACTGATAGAATCGCACGTGATGATTACACCGATCAATAGAAAGATTGACGGCGGGATTGTTTCAATGAATTGATATGTCCGTGATATACTTGATATTGATTTACTTCGTACGGAACAACGGATAATTAACAATTTCACTCCATAACCTCTTGTTGCGTACCGTACAAAATATTAAATCAAAAAAATATTTCTAGTAATGAATTATTGTTTGTTATTATTGTATCCGGTGATGATATATATGAAGGTGTTATTATTTTGGTGTGGGTCTCATGGAAGAAAATATAACATTATCGATTTGCTGGGTCGATGGGTCGACGATAGTAGAGTGGCTGATAGAAACCACCGTTTCTTGTCCAATGAGAGATGTGGTTTCTGCTCAAACAGAGTTGTTAACATTACCACTCCGACATTTATTTTATCGGCGAATTTTGGGAGTTATAGTAACCAAACTAAAGGTTTCGTTGTGCATATCGTGTCAGCACGAAAATTTCAGCCGCCGGAGAGGGTCATCGAATTAATAGTTCCTTGAATATATATTGTTTAAAGGTAAGTCATTGGTCTGCTTTCTTAGCTACCAATTACTATTGTAAATTTATTTCCAGTGTAACGAATATATGAAAATAATCAACAGAAACGATAATTTTTTCCAACGTCTACATTCTTAATTAATTGTTTCGTTGATTTTTCAGTTATATAATACTCAAAGATGTCTGATCGCAAAGCTGTAATTAAAAATGCGGATATGTCGGAAGAGATGCAGCAAGATGCTGTTGATTGTGCTACCCAGGCACTTGAAAAGTACAATATTGAAAAGGTAATTATTCTGTTGTGATTCATAGTTAATGTACTTGAAAGAAATTTAGATAGTAATTTTGGTGGATGTGAAATTTTGGCAGTCCTTAAGAATTTACCTTCATAATGATGTATATTTAAACAATGTCTATTTGTATACATTTATTATGGATTTATTTTTACATATTACAGAATTTTATATTTAAATACAATTCATTTAAAATAAAAATGTTGGATTTTTTTATGATGAACTACAAAAAGAAATTTAATTTTTAATTAAAACTTATCTACTTTGGTATATATCTAATTGTAAATCATAATAATTTATAACAAGTCTTTAATTTTGCTGAAATGTATGAAACTTATGCAAGATGCATTATTATATTATTATTATATGTAAATTATTTCTGTTGATGAAAATTGTTGTGTCTTGATCAAATTCCAAAGAAATAATCTATTGTTATGTCTATGACAAGAATGAAGTCTGAAATTAAAATGTTTGTGATCAATCAATGATATTTTCTTTTCAGATAACTTGAACTATTCATTTATTTAAATTAAAAAACATGTATTTTATTACAAATAATTTTCTTATACCTTTTAATTTAATCAAAATCAAAATATTTCGAATAAGTTTATTTTACATTTGGAGCTAATGCTTTAATTTTATTATATTTTTATTTAATGATTTATGAACAGGCTTATTTTTTTTTTTTAATGCAGATTTCTTAGTTGAAATTGTTGTAGTACATATTTAGTAATTTAAAAAAATCATTATTTGTATTAAATTAATTGTAATAATGGAAAATGCTTAATATGCATTTTTAGATAGATAAATGTATTATATTGCATTTCCTCATTGGATAATTTTTACATTATAAATGCATAATCAACTAAATCTCTTATTCTTAGATAAGCAAAATAAGATTACTAGTTAATCATAAACTAAACATTGATTTAAAATGACAACTTATAAACAATTTACTTGTGTTTTAACAGCTACCTTAAATTAAAAAAATTAGATAATTAATTAGAAGGTATTTTATGTTCTATACCACATGATTATTTACTGTTCACCATTACTTAAGTATTTGAAACAGTTTCTATTTATTTATTAGAATTTGTATTTTTTATTTATAATTGTTTTATTTTTAGTTAAAATAAAATTGTTTTCTAAAATAGATATAAAGAAAAATTTCTCTGTTGATTTTTACCTAAAAATATTTGTTATTTTATGTTTAACTTGGCATTAGTGACGATATGGCCAAAATGACCGCACTCTTTTAGGTTTTTAATAAAACATTTACATTTTGTATTTCAATCATTGACACTCAGTATATTTTTTAAAAATGTTATTGATTGTATATTATAGACTCATATTATATAAGTATCAATGATTAAAGTATAAAATATAAATGTAAAAAAAATGTGATAATTTTGACCATAGTGCAATTAACACGTTCGCTGCGGCTTAATTTTTGTATACCCATTCCCCAGTGCTGGTCAAATTTACGTATTTTTTTTTTTTATGACGCTTATTGTTGCATCAGCATCACTGAATAATGTTTTAGTCAGACGCTGTTTGACGCCATTGGGCGTCATTGTATAAATATACGAATAAAAATAATTATCATTCATAAACTTTAATACTTAATTACAATATTATTTATAAAACAATTGTGTACAACTTATCAAACATTTTATTTTAATTTTATTTTTATATTGTTAAAAAATAAGAATAAAATTCGTCAATTAAATCGATAAATAATGGATAGTAATAATAATGTATTTTACAGTCGAATCCCGAACAGTTATAATCATGTATTACACAGTCGACCATTCGCGAATATACAGTAATATATACTGAACAATGCAGGCGAAAAAAAAAAATAAAACGCAAAGCTGATAAAATTTAAAATAATTGAAAATAAATGTATAAATGACGCCTTAAGGCGTCATCCGGACATGGGAAACGATAGAATTGATGCCTCAAGGCGTCATTCCGCAGTGAACGTGTTAACGGCTGGATAATACATTAAAATATGAAAATAATATTGACAGTTGTAGTTCATTTAAAAAGTATTTCTTACCTTTTTATCTATTTAGTGATATTTGTATATATATATATTTAATATATTTAATAATTAATGTGAATAAATATGTTTGTGTAATAGGACATTGCTGCATATATAAAGAAAGAATTTGACAAAAAATATAATCCAACTTGGCATTGTATTGTTGGTCGCAATTTTGGAAGTTACGTTACCCATGAAACGAGGCACTTCATATACTTCTATTTGGGCCAGGTGGCCATACTGCTATTCAAGAGCGGTTAAACTATTGACTATTGCACATGTCCCCTTCCAATATGCAAAAATTAAATAAAATAATTCATCACCTACTCTGAAAAAATAAATATTTTTTATGAGCATTAGCCACTCGTTTTTTAATTTTTGTCTACTAAATTATACAATATTTATAACATTCCCTGAGCATTTTATTAATTTATTATTTTTAAGAGTTAAATGAACGATATTTATTGGAAGGGCTTGACAATTTTTCTCATTACTAACTATTTTTATTATTATTTTTTTTAAACTAAAATGTGCGAGTAGCTTCTAATATATATATATATATATATATATATATATGTATGTATGTATGTATGTATGTATGTATTATATTAATGTATATTTTTTTTTTTTTTTTGAGTGTGCCATCATCAACAATGGCTTATACTCTTATACTTCCCCCTCGCCATTTTTAACTCCCTTCTTAACTGGCTACTCTCATTCTTGCATTACTATTTTATTAAAAATATGTTAACTACACAGTAAACAAATATTTTATTAGTATTTCATGTCCTCAATTATATTTTATTGTAATTATTTCTAGTCCATTTAAAAAGCATATATGTTTATGAAATTTGGGACTGTATTGTGTGTAATTTTAATAGTTACTTAGGCTGTTGGGTTGCATATATGTTCATTATATTAAGATAATTTTTTTCATCCGATGAATGGTTTTTGTAATATCCTATAAATCATGTGCAATCCAGCGTTACAATGATAATTATATTACATTATTTTCAATGCATTGAAAACACGTCACCAACATAGATAAAAGTTAAAAAGTGGATTATGTTGTTATTGTTTACTTATGTATAATTTTTTTTTTTTTTTATTAATATGTTAATGATACTTTTAGATATTTGAAATATTTTTTAATGATTGGTTTTTTTTTTTTTTTTTGCAACATAGATATATAACATTTATTTTGTGTTCTTTGACTGGTGTAAACAAGAATGTTTCAAGTAGCATCTTAACAAAAAATTAATAAATTCTAAAAAAATTTAAATTAACAGTTCTATATTCTCACATAATTATAGTGTCATTATTATTTATGATATTGTTTTTGATTTTATTAAAAGTACTATAATTTGAATCCTGAGTGAATTGCTACAACACCAAATGTTAAGTTGGTGTATGTGACACATCTGAAGCCTGCTGACTCTATCATGTATTTGAAATCTTCCTGTAAAAAAAAATTGAGTTGTATTTAGTTTTGACTTCTTTAACATACTAAAATATGTAGATGGAAGTACATTGGTAATGTTAGGATTGGAAGGCATTTAAAACATTTGAAAATATTGTGTGTATTATAATTCATGTTTTAAAATTTCAGTCAAGCCTGTAAGAATGGTCATAACTTTGATATATCCAAGTCAACCATTGCTGATGAAATTAATTAGAATTGTGAAAACCCAATATAACTTAATGACATTATAATTTTAGTATTTACCTGACAAGGAAATTTTCTAATGCTTTCTACTAAATATTGATAAGGTCTCCATTGGCTGGCAACTACATGGCCCATAACAGGAATCACATTGAATGAGTATTGATCATATATCCATCTTAAAGCTTCTGGATTAACTTGACTAAATTCTAAGCAAAGGAATCTACCTCCTGGTTCGAGTACTCTATAAGCTTCATCTAAAGCTTTATCAATGTGTGTGACATTTCTAATTCCAAATGCAATAGTATAGGCTGAATATGAATCTGGTTCCATTGGTAAATGCTCTGCATCACATTCTACCCATGAAATATTATTTTGACTTAATTTCAAATTGA